AGAGAAGAAAAAAACCGCGGACACCCGCGCCAGCTATAGCCAACGCGTTGAAAATGGTGCCCGTGGTGGTGCGTGTTTAACTGCCCGCCGGCGCCTCCTGGTTGCTTACTCTTGTCACCATCTTGGGAACACGGCCCCCCTTTTTTCGCTATAATTTGCGGACGACCCTCGCGGGCCTCCGCTTTGTTTCCTTTGTTCTTGTTGTTCGCTATGGTTCGGACCCAAGGCCACGAACGGGACAAAGAGAGAGAAAAGAAGAAAAAAGCCACGAACACCCGCGCCAGCTGTGGCCAACGCGTTGAAGGTGGTGCCCGTGGTGGTGCGTGTTTCACTGCCCGCCGGCGCCTCTTGTTTGCTTGTTCTTACTATGGGAACGGGGTCCCCTTTTTTTCGCTATAATTTGCGGACGACCCTCGCGGGCCTCCGTTTTGCTTTGTTCTTGTTGTTCGCTATAGTTCGGACACGACAAGGCCACGAACGGGACAAAGAGACAGAAGAGAAGAAAAAAACCGCGAACACCCGCGCCAGCTATGGCCAACGCGTTGAAAATGGTGCCCGTGGTGGTGCGTGTTTAACTGCCCGCCGGCGCCTCCTCGTTGCTTGTTCTTACTATGGGAACACGGCCCCCCTTTTTTCGCTGTAATTTGCGGACGACCCTCGCGGGCCTCCGCGTTCCTTTGTCTTTGTTGTTCGCTATGGTTCAGACCCAAGGCCACGAACGGGACAAAGAGAGAGAAAAGAAGAAAAAAGCCACGAACGCCCGCGCCAGCTATGGCCAACGCGTTGAAGATGGTGCCCGTGGTGGTGCGTGTTTCACTGCCCGCCGGCGCCTCTTGGCTGCTTGTTCTTACTATGGGAACGGGGCCCCCTTTTTTTCGCTATAATTTGCGGACGACCCTCGCGGGCCTCCGTTTTCCTTTGTCCTTGTTGTTCGCTATAGTTCAGACACAAGGCCACGAACGGGACAAAGAGACGGAAGAGAAGAAAAAAACCGCGGACACCCGCGCCAGCTATGGCCAACGCGTTGAAAATGGTGCCCGTGGTGGTGCGTGTTTAACTGCCCGCCGGCGCCTCCTGGTTGCTTACTCTTGTCACCATCTTGGGAACACGGCCCCCCTTTTTTCGCTATCATTTGCGGACGACCCTCGCGGGCCTCCGCTTTGTTTCCCTTGTTCTTGTTGTTCGCTATTGTTCGGACCCAAGGCCACGAACTGGACAAAGAGGGAGAAAAGAAGATAAATGCCACGAACACCCGCGCCAGCTATGGCCAACGCGTTGACGGTGGTGCCCGTGGTGGTGCGTGTTTCACTGCCCGCCGGCGCCTCCTCGTTGCTTGTTCTTACTTTGGGAGCAAGGTCCGCGCTTTCGCTATAATTTGCGGGCGACCCTCGCGGGCCTCCGCGTTCCTTTGTTCTTGTTGTTCGCCAAAGTTCGGACACAAAGCCACGAACGGGACAGAGAGACAGAAGAGAAGAAAAAACCCGCGGACACCCGCGCCAGCTATGGCCAACGCGTTGAAAATGGTGCCCGTGGTGGTGCGTGTTTAACTGCCCGCCGGCGCCTCCTGGCTGCTTACTCTTGTCACCAACTTGGGAACACGGCCCCCCCTTTTTCGCTATAATTTGCGGACGACCCTCGCGGGCCTCCGCTCTGTTTCCTTTGTTCTTGTTGTTCGCTATGGTCCGGACCCAAGGCCACGAACGGGACAAAGAGGGAGAAAAGGAGAAAAAAGCCACGAACACCCGCGCCTGCTGTGGCCAACGCGTTGAAGATGGTGCCCGTGGTGGTGCGTGTTTCACTGCCCGCCGGCGCCTCTTGTTTGCTTGTTCCTTCTTACTATGGGAACGGGGCCCCCTTTTTTTCGCTATAATTTGCGGACGGCCCTCGCGGGCCTCCGTTTTGCTTTGTTCTTGTTGTTCGCTAGAGTCTGGACACAAGGCCACGAACGGGACAAAGAGACGGAAGAGAAGAAAAAAACCGCGGACACCGGTGCCAGTGCTGCCGCCTTCCTCTTGTATATATAATCACCGCGCCCCCGCTCCCCTTTCCCGCGACGCGGAGGGGAGTGCGTGCCCCTCGGGCGCCCGTTTCACCTTGTGAAACCATTCACCTCCACCCACGTCCCTAAAGTATCCTTTTCCCTTCCTTAACGTCTCCCGGGGCACCCGGGCCCGGGGAGTTACTATTACTAGTATAATATCTCCCATAATTCAACAACGCTGCGCTCATCGTCCCCGCATCAAACTCCGGATCTAAGGCCCAACTCAGCGCCCGGTGCAATGGCTCGTCTGCTAGGAGAGATTCCATGTCGTGGAAGAGTTTTTCGCGCCTTGTCTGTGTTAGGAAAACTATTTTCCCTTCTTTCTCGTCGTAGACCATGTCACGCGCAGCTAGTCTGCGTTGGAGGTCTTCTAAATGATCCGCGAAGGTCAGGAAAACGTGTTTCAACCTTTCAGTCTGTTGTCTAAAGAACGATTGTGCTGTCGAGAAGGATCTAAAGCCTCGTCTTGTCAGAAAGAAGTCTCTGAAGCTTTGCCGCTGGGCGCGTCTCGCCTCTTCTCGCCTTTTCTTCTCCAATTCTGCTAGTTGTTCGGAGGAGGTTACTGCTACGACGGAGCTCGAAGATGACACCGAGAATGGGTGCGTCACCTGTTTGTTTCCACTTGGTGTCGTGTGTTGACGCGGGTATCCTCCGGACATAGGCGTACTTGTTGCACTGTGAGCGCCATATTGGAGATAAGCAGGCGTTGCTGGCCATGTTGAGTGTGCAACTCCACCAGCACTTGGTGAAATCAAGCCTGTAGTTTTTCCATCTCCTAGCACACCAACAGCGTCAACTCCTCTCCCATGGTTTCTAAACGATGCCGACCCCCCTAGAGCTTCCATCCCTATCCCTGGTTGTACACAATGCGCGCCAAATCGAAGGCCACCTCGTCTAAGCCCAGTATTGGGATCCACGATTGGAGCAGGTGGCAAAGGCTGCACATATGCTGCACCAAACTGCGGTTTCCGAACGTAGTCTCGCTTTCTCGTGGACCTACCTTCGGCTCCTCGTGTCGGTGCTCCACGCAATTTTGAGGATATAGAGGAAGTGGGTGTAGTTGTCTTGCCATGCTGTGGTCCTGTAGTAGAGTTGGTCTTGCTGCTATTACTCGCCTGTTTGGTCGGGACACCAGCAATTACTCGCGTGTCACTGGTCAAAACGATGGCGCTCCCTTCTCCTGGAGTAGTGGCTTCGTCACTGAGATTAGCGAGGACATCGATATCAATTTCACTATGCTAGTTTTGAGCAGTTGTTCTATTCTAATTCTACTCTTGTTTTAAGTACTTCATCTTGATTCTGATTGGTATTTGTCATTGAATTTTCTTTCCCTGGGTTCCACTTGACATTGCGAATAAGCCTGCTACGGGAAAAAGCTGTCAACCATAATAGACAGAGGTTTCTTCCCAGAAACTGGAAATGCTGCTGGCGTCGGCTCCATATCGTAGAATTTGTCGGATATCTCCATCAAAAAATGAATCATCACTTCCTCGAAAAATATCGCCTGAATCTGACTCTCGGAATTCACCTGACTTGAAGTTTTATTTGGCTACTTTGTTGAAGATGGTGTAGTACTACTGGGAGACTACTTACAGAATAATTCTGAATCAGATCGAGTGCGTGGAATGGACAAAACGAAAAGCTCATTAACTGCATGATGGCGCCAAAGACTACTGGTACTGATGTGAACATGCATAAGGAATACTAATCTATTAAGCGTAAGCAGTAGCTCCTACCTCGCTAACAATTTCATGGCTCTCTTCCCACATGTCCGCAAGATGGTTCCACCGTTGCAGTTCCCTCTGTTCCTGATCCACCGCTTGAAAAACGATAGACATGTGCAGCCACTTCCTCAACAACAGGTAGACGTTGTCCAGTGATGCTAGGGCTTCGAAAAAGCGGAGGTTAGAAATAGAGCATGCAGGATGACTCAACATTGACACATAAAAATTTGAGTATCGAGTTGTACAAAAATGTTGAGAACATGATCCGGGAGTGGCTGTCTCATATCTCTCTTCGTTCTTGTCTCAAACAACGGCCTAAAACAAACGTTTTTGACATAACAAACACCGCGTGTAGCGTCAACGGTAGAAAAGTCCCTGCAAAACGCGTCGACGTCTCTGCTGCATGGTCTAGTAGGTTGAGGTAGTAGTTTGGAATAGCCTCCGCGTCAGAGTTAGAGATTGAAAGCTGGCGTCTCTAGCTCGCATACTTATCTAAGGATTTCCTCCTTGAAGAAGACATAGAGACGCGCTCTTAGATGATAGGCCAACTTTCAAGCCTTAACAACCGCATGAGCATGGGCAGCTTTTCGTATCCATCCAGGCATAGACAGTTCACCAATCGCTATCGACGGATTGGACACGACCTTCACCAACATCCCCGTTGTCTTGTCCAATACCAAATCTTCTTGCTTGCCGTACAGATCTACGGTGTGTAAGGGTACTAGATCGCCGTGTAGTTCTTGGGAAGCAATGTTCCCCTTGGATGTCGGTCTTGTGGAAGATGAAGGTGGTCTAGAAGATGTGCTGTTTGCTTTTGCTTTGGGGTAGTTACTCACAGCAGCACTTATCCCGCCGCTCACAGCAGCACTTATCCCGCCGCTGCAACGATGTTGTTCCAACAACACATCGACAAAAACCCGATGCAAAATCGTCAACACTCCTGCCTCCGTGATCTCGTCTGCGCCGTCGTTCGCGTCTGCCGACGAGCGCATCAAACGCAAAATCATGTCTGCGAAGGTGGAAATATCATAGGGCGAAGTACCAGCGTAACCCCCCGTTGTATACTGCGTAGTCAATGCATGTCGTATTATAGTTTCGACTAAGAACAAGGACGCTGCGCTTGCTTCCTCCTCCTTGGTCATGGGAGTGGTTGGAGATGTAGATGTTGATGTGTTCGTTGTGCTGCTCGAAGAGTTTCTCGTACTAGATGACGATGAAGATGGAGTTCTTCCCTTAGTACTTGTACTACTAACAGCAGATTTACCTCCTCCGGGTCCGACCTCATAGTTCCGTAACACCGACAAACCTTGTAACGCAACTACATTTTTCGACCATCTTCCCAGGCCTTCCAGCCCCCTAGCGCGCAAACGGGCATCGCTTCCGGGTAAATTACAGATGCGCAGGACCAAATCAAATGGCCAAGTCCGACATATCTCGACATCGAGAGCTAAATGCGCCAATATTGCTAGCAACAATTCCGCTAGTTGCCTGTTGTTTGTAGTTCCTGTAGAAGTGCTGGACGTGGTGGCCTTTTTAACCTCTTCTAGATGCTCCTCCGCGACGGAATCCAGGAAACGCTCAGCTGGACCTTAGAGCGAGACTCTCTAAGTGGATGAGCACTGAACTATTTCGCAGGCTTTAACAAGATCCGGTAAAGGTACTGAAGGTTCAACATGAAAACATTCTACGAGGAAGATTTAATCAGTGATATTCAAGTACATCTTTTTAATCGAACCTGCTCAATCTTCTCCCATAAAAGTGGAATATGGTGAAGCAGCAACACCGAAAATCACTCACGGGTAGGCCGCGACTCGGGTGAAACAACTTTGCCAAGTTGGTCAGATGTTGCATCAACCCCGGACGAAGAGGAGGATGGTCTTCTATGCGTTTCGCTACAACTATCTCACGTGCATCAGTAGAAATTTTGGTTGTTCCCACTGACTCTCCTAAGACATTACTCGTTGAAGACGACGTGCTCGTTGAAGGAGTGTCGGGCTTCGCTTGGTGCTCCAGAGCCGGTACTTGTCTTTCTGTTCCTCCTCTGGCTGCAGTTGTCGGTTCTTCGTCCTTGGCCGTACCAGTGCTCTCCTTATTTCGTGCAAGCACCTCCTGTTCGTCTTCATCGAGTCTTTGAAGATGTTGGAGTATTTGGAAGAGCCGACGCCGCCTCCCCTCGACCCCTTCCGCCTGTGCGAAAGACACAGCCATAGTCGCATATTCTTACAAGAACTGTGCGAATAATGTGGCCATACTCGCATATTTCTAGACAGAGAAATGTTGGTCACCAGTTACTTCATAAATCTTGAAAATGACAAAGAATCCTTCATCACCTAATCAGGAAGGAGGTTCCCCTATTTCTGGTTGAAACAAGTTATGCTTATTGTCGGTGAAAGTGGCGAACTAGACACTTTTGGTTTTTCTGTGTCTAAGCACTTTTTCCTTCCTCTTAGCAGAAAAATAAGCCAAGCGCAATTTCAATCAACTCTACCGAGAAGTATACCAATCTGCTACTCTCGATCATCAGAATGGCTGTCAATTCTTTCTTGGGCGTCTTGAAACACCCCACCGCGTCTGCTTCCGCATGGTCTCTTTATCGTTTCGTACTTGTGTTTTCTGTGATATGACAGTCGAAAAAAAAATCATCTGTACATATATCCCCAAAAGTGGCCTGATGGCCCGAATGGCAAAAAATGACTTATACTGATGCACTTGTTTTTCAATCTGGTGGTCGTGGTTTCTTTCATTTTTGCAACAAAAAAACTGATACAGCAACAGCCTCACATATGCAGTGTATCATCATACTCCTTAGGAGGGTTGTGCAAGCAGGTGTTATGTCTTCGCCATCACATCTCCGCAGAAGTTCTACTGCTACGTATCACAGCACTCTCTTCAGAAGCACAACTTGGAGAACTATTCATCTTCGCTTCATAGTCGTACATCCATCTCCTGTTCACCTTCCTGTTCTACGAGATTTTCTACTTCTCTGTGCATCCTACTACTACTACAAGCAAGTAGCCTCCTCCATGATCCCATTCAACCCTGCTGCTCGTGAATCAGTACTACTACAGGTAAGCAGCTTCCAGCTCCATGATCCTCCATCCTCTATTCACCTTCCTTGATACATCAGTACTACTACAAGTAAGCAGCCGCCTCCTCTTCCTTATCCACCGTGACTAGTTCTTGAAACGGAATTCCTGATTGACTAGTGAAGAGGAAGAGCGCCGTTCCAGATCCTACGCCTAGACCTACTGCTTTTTTGAGTGGAGTACTACTCGCAAACCTGATCTTGCGACAGCCGTCCAAAGGTAATCCACCCTCGGGCACGGTGCAAATCTCGGCCATGCTTCCTGAAGGGGGGATACTTTGAAGATGGGAGTAAGTATGTGGTACTCTGTTCTGTGAATGTTGAAGATATTTATAGTATACTAATACTCATCATTTTCTATACTAATACTCAGCAAAACTCCAAAAACTAGAGAGAACCTTTAATTCCCGGCATGCCTTCTAGTGGTGTGTAGTAGGTGAAGGTTCTCGGTAATCCTCCTGGCGATACAAATGGCATAGAAAGCTCATTTCCAACCAAGGCTGGACCGCGAAAATTGTCTCCTTTAGGATTCGCCAGCAATAATGGATAATCGCTTCCCGCAGGTGTCAGCGTATTCCCAGTTGCGTTCACATTCAAAACCGCTAAACGGTTTTTGTTGTCGTCTGGAAGGGGTATTGGAATAGGAGACAACTTTTTTTGTTGCGCAACAGCTTGACACGTCATCAAGATAGATTCCAAAGTTGAAGTCAAAAAAACGTGTGGGACTACAACAACAACAGCTCTTGATGTACTGTTACGCATACCTAATCCAAGGGTACCTATCAACATTTCAACACTAGGTTCTTAGACGTACCAACAGAAAAATAGCTCAAAGCGATTTGTTTGTCTGCAACTAGAGCCAAATTGTGTGCCACGAGATCGGCTCCTGGTACACCCAATTTCAATGGTGCAAAGAAAAAGATGTTGCCGTCAGCGTCAATTTTGCCGACACGTAGATTTGCTGAGTCAGGAGCTGCGGCACCACGGAAGGCTACTGGAGATTAGAAGGGGAGTGGTTCGTCGTTTTTCTTGTTGGTTTTATTACTACTAAAAAAGAAGCATCTTGAATTTTTCATATCTCAATTACGAGGATGATTCTTAGAAAATAGAAACAGTGGAGATGATCTACAAGTGGATTTTTCAACATTCATGACACTGTCGTAAACAAACTTATCGTTCGACACTGAGACGGCGTGGATTGAGCGAGCACCTCCAGCGTTGTAGAAATCGAAAGTTCCGTCGAAAGTTACAGAACCTCCAGGCGCCGCAGAGAGGGCGTCGGAGGATACTGCGACCTGTGCCGTCTCCTCAGCTGAGTAGAAAACTAAGAGATTCCCTCCTTTGATAAAGAGCAGCTTGGGACGGGCTTTCTGCGTGCGACAAAAAGGCTCTGCACTCTTCACGATAGGAGTCAGCTTGTCAGGATTCGTGTCGTCCGGGGTAGCTTTCGAGACAGCGACGAATCTGTTGTAGATGTGCGTGGTGCGTGTGTTTTCTTACCTGATGAAACGTCTTTTTATGCTTACCATCGGTCGCATTATAGTTGATAAGGTTAAAATGTTAACTTCGGATTTTACAAGAACTTCATAAGCGAGATCCCCATTCACCACTCAAGCGAGATCCTGAGTCACCACTTATGCGAGACGCGGCGTCCCCATTTGCGCGAGGCCCCGACCGAGTGCCCACTTAAGCGAGGCCCGCGGCCACCACTTACGCAACGCCTGGGGGCACCGCTTAAGCGACACCACGGAGGCCCAACGGCTTACCCGCTCAGACCCCGTGTGAAACTGTTAAGGGACAGGGCGAAACCGTTACGGGAAGGGGCGGAACAAGTAGGGGACAGGGCGGGCCGTTGGGAGACAGGGCGAAACCGTTAAGGGACCGGGCGAAACCGTTAAGGGACCGGGCGAAACCGTTAAGGGACAAGGCGAAACCGTTAAGGGACCGGGCGAAACCGTCAAGGGACCGGGCGAAACCGTTAAGGGACAAGGCGAAACCGCTAAGGGACAAGGCGAACCCCTTCAGGGACAAGGCGAAACCGTTAAGGGACAGGGCGAAACCGTTAAGGGACAATGCGAAACCGCTGAGGGACAGGGCGAAACCGTTAGGGGACCGGGCGAAACCGTTAAGGGACAAGGCGAAACCGTTAAGGGACAGGGCGAAACCGTTAAGGAACAATGCGAAACCGCTGGGGGACAGGGCGAAACCGTTAAGGGACCGGGCGAAACCGTTAAGGGACAAGACGAAACCGTTAAACGACAAGCCGAAACCGCTAAGGGACAAGGCGAAGCCGTTAGGTGGCAAGCCGAAACCGCTAAGGGACAAGGCGAAACCGTTGGGGGACAGGCCGAAACCGTCAAGGGACAGGGCGAAACCGTTAAGGGGCAAGGCGAGACCGTGAAGGAACAGCGCCAAACCGTTAAGGGACCGAGCGAAACCACTTGGGGACGAGGCGAAACCGCTAGCGGGCACGCGCATGTCCCTTAGGTGCCACAAAAGCGCCGCCCTTAACTGCCTCAAAAGAATCACCCTTAACTGCCTCAAAAGTGTCCCCCTTAAGTGCCTCAAAGGCGCCGCACTTAACTGCCCCAAAAGAATCACCCTTAACTGCCTCAGGAAGTCTCTCCCCTGCTGAGTAGAAACCACCTTCCTATTTTGCTGCAGGACCGTGAAATACGCTCTCCTATATCTACATTATTATCCTCGAAACTAATTACCCGCTTTTCGTCGCCTGCTCTACGAATGCAACTGCGATCGAATTTGTGTCTGCTTCGTAAGCCAGCGTTAAAAATTTCAGAGGTTTGTCATGGATCAGCAATCCTCGGGATCCTTCCGGCCACCATATATTGCCCAACGTGTGTCGACCAAGGCGTAGATATCCCAGTTTCGTTTTACTGTCGCTTCATATGAACACAAAAAGTAGTCTAAACTTCTGTTGGTCATGTTGCACATTTGACGCTCACAGTTTCATGAGATAAGCGAGTTCGTCTATAATGATGCCAAAAACACAAACTGCAACTAGGAACGATTCCAAAGGAGCTCCAAATCACCTCCAAATCAAATTTCCGACTGCAGAAATATAATGAAACACTATGTTCGAACAGCTACAGATAAGTTTCCCTTCATAAGATAAGCAGCCACGATGATGCCACCACTCGGACTAGCGACGGCCGTTAACTCGTCAACAAGAGGATCCGGCCCCAGTGAAGCGGATGTCGGTATGTTAGAAGTGTTGACATCGAGTCATGCTGTTTTCTGCTTGAGCAAGTGTCTTTGCTTTATGCTTGAGCATGAATCAATTGCAGGTGACACTCAGGAGTGTAGCCCCACTGTCATTCATCATCACTCAGGAGTGTTGCCCCCACTGTCATTCATCATATCTTTCAACCGTTACGCAGTTGCTAATTCGTGTAGCCACTGTCATTCATCATCAGCGGACAATCTAAGTCAGACGCAACTATCTAGTGATTTTGCTTTATGTGTCTTTGCTTTAAGTGAGACCAAGTGTCATCTTTGCTTTAAATGTGTGAGCATGAAGCAATTGCAGCTGCATTCTACTATAATTTCAGAAACTCATCATCCTCAAACATATCCTCAAATCTTTTTCAGAAACTCATACCAGCTGCATCTTTGAAGAATCATCAACAGCATACACAAGAACTGCCATAAGGAACCCAGCTGCAGGTGGCCCCGATCCGAAGAACATGTTGCTCCCGCTAAGCGTCTGGAACTCGCAGACAAACCCATCGCCCACATAGCCTACATTGCACTGGCAAGTCGGGTAAGGAATGGATGACAGGCAATGGATTTGGATAGGGAGGTAGGGACATAGGGACTTATCATATTAAATCAAACTAGTTGTAGTAGGGACATATTTAATCAAACTAGTTGTAGTAGGGACATATTTAATGTAGGTAGGGAAACTAGTTTCACAAAAATGGATAGGGCGGTAGGGGGAGGAGTTTGATCTTCATCGAGATTTGTAGGATATTAAGGAGGTTGTAAGGAGGAGTTTTTTTACCGAAATTTCAGAACAGATAGGAAAGGGTATGAAGAACTAACGACAGTCAAATTCATGGAACTGATCCTAACACTTTGAAACAACTGGCGAGTAATAATGTTGGAACTGAAAACTACTTTAAATACTCGTGTCATAACACAGCTGTGGCATTGCACCTCGCATTCTCACCGCATGCCAGTGTTGCACAGGTTGTCCCAGGAGAAGACGTAAACCCTAGGATCGCTTGCGCAGAGTTCAGAAAGCTCAAGCTCTGTCGATAAAGCTCCTTCAGTCGCGCCGTTTCGTTACGGTTTTCACTGTTGTGTGGAGAAAGTGAAGACTTCTGCCCAATAGCCTTTACTTGCTCTCAACAAAGTAGCAGAAAGGATGTTCGTATTCCATATCCTGATGCTTCTCACGTGTGAAAAGACGAGGCACGATCAACTATTTTTTTTCATTTCATGGGCGCGACTCCATCCACCCATCGCTGGGCGTAGTCGACAAGAGCCACAAAAAACGGCTCACCAGGCAGACGAGTCTGCCATGTGGAGCCGATTTGTACATTTGTCGTAAGGTACTAATGGCCGGATGTTACTCCCTACCCCCTTGTAAAAATTCTAAGTACTCCACGGCCCCTTTCAATATTCCTTTGTCCAAAGCATCCAGTGGCTGTGCTTCAGTGCCGTTGTAGACTTTCTCTATCGTTACTTGTAGACGCTTCAATGCTGTCGTTCCTGCTAGCATTTTCTTCCGCAGCTTGTCCAGGAGTAATGGCAGTTGATATGGGTAAATGTTAGAGGCATGAACACAAACAAGCTTGGAACAAGGAACAAAGTTGTAGTTTTGATTTAGACGGAGTATATTTTCTTTCGAAGAAGCTATGTTTAGAAGTCTAGTAGATGGAGAAATAGGGCGGGCACAATAAAATCACCATCCTTGTTCTTTCCCTTGTTTCTCATCAAGTGCTGGAGAACTTTTCTAGTCTGTTGGAAATTTGTATTTTCTTTATTTTCACTTCCAATTCCTTAGTCGTCTCTGCTGCTGCTGCTGCACTGGGGTCTTCGACTTGCTTCGCCTTATGGAATAAAACGCCAGAGTTGTGACCAGACAACGACTCCTCTGAATCCGGAAGGAGCGCACCAGAATTATGAAAGTCGGTTTTGCTCATCCGGATGGCCACCACTGGCGGTTGGAAAATGCCCACCAGAAAGAGAGAAACATTTCTCCTGGTAGTCGTCCTACCAGGAGACCCACACGCTTTGCGACGTCGGGGACCACTCATTTCGTTCGTGGGACTAGTATAGGAAGAAGAAGAGACTAAGCAAGAGAGGACCCGTATCGGCGTCTGGATAGAAGAACAATAACAAGAAATCTAATTTTGTTTTGTCGTCGATATCTTTCACCTCAAAGCATTTTCAACCTCGCTCAAGGTTCGAGGTTCAAGGTTGAAGCTCAAGGCATTTTCATCCCCACAAAGTTTAGAATTTTTTCGGTCTTTCGCAGTTAGCTTTAGAAGTCTCTTCCCTCTTCGAACACTGTTGAAGGGAAATGGCTTCTACCATCAGAGAACAGCCTGTTTATTATGACAAAAATTTCTCAATAAGATCCTCCAACTGAGCTTGATTTAACATCGTATGCTATGTGATACAGCTTCCACAACGTGACTCTTCCATTCCATGTGATTCTTTCGCGGTTAGCTTTAGAAGTCTCTTCCCTCGTCGAACTGCTTGAAAGTCACAAAATCAGTTAACTTGAGAAGTCTCTTCCCTCAGTCACAAAGCCATTCGCCTGCTTGAAAGTCATCAGAAGTGTGCCTTTCTAGGATGCCTTGAAGTCATCAGCGCTGTGCCTTTCGCGGATGCCGTTGGGGTCTAAAATAGCGTTCACCCGTAACCCTCGCAGCACGCCAGGACGACTTTCGAGTCGGTCGCACCATCGAAAAATCGCCGCAGAGCATGAAATCATGTAGTTGTTCTCCTGCTCTACCATCAAAGCACACACTTGTTCATGCGTTATCTCATTCACCCGACCGGGAATATTAAAAACATGTAAAAGTTGATCGATATTTGAAACAACTAGGCTATTCCGGAGATGATAGGAGGCTCAGAAATAAAGTAACTTTATGAAGAACCTTAGGTAGTAAAAAAAAAAGGAACTATTTTCCGGACATCAAAACTATAAATACCAGTCATAAGTACTCCGAAGATTTGAAGTTGAGAAAAGTAGCGACCTTTTCTCTGCGACGCAAGGAGCGGATCCAGGGAAAAATCGCGAAGTCAGCAATGGTTGGCTCCCCAATGCTGCACACAAATACCACCTGTCGTTCATCAGCTGTCTGTGTCGATGACTTTGATTCTTGTTTCTCCAATTGCACATTCAAGACACTCAACGAGCGCTTCACCTCCAAGGTACCGCGATCAACGCAATCGCGCAAATAAGCAGACTCCTGGTCCCAGTAGGTGGAAATGAAAGCTCCTGCTAAAAGATGTTTTCATAAATAGTTGTAGACAATACTATGGTTAAGGAGCTATGGTCTATAAATCTATTGCGGACGTTGAAATGAAGAAGATATTTGTACCATCTCTCAGCTTCGAGATTTTAGCGAGAGCTTCTGAGTGCTGTCTCATCCAGGTATTAATACAGTCTGGCTGAGAACGACCAAAACGCTCATAATGTAGTAGGTGTTGAAGAAGCCGAAGTATGGTCCTGCCCCTGCTTGCCAAAATACCCAGCTGAAGACTTCGGCGCGCCCAGTGACGGGAGGCAAAAACTTCTTAAACTTTTCCGCCAAATAGATCAAAATCGCATTGCTTTCGAAAACACGCGTTGGCGAAGAACCTGTGATGGACTATCACTTTCACAAAAAAAATGATGGTGAACTACCTAAAACAGGTGATAGTGAACCAACAACAGATGATGGTGAACCTCCGATCATTGGACCTTCAGAATGGTGATGGTGGTGAACCTGAGAAGAGCATTACTTTCGGAAAGTTTAATAGCCAAGGAGGTAACTACCATAATTCGATAAGATTGAGACTCTAGGTACCACTCTCACCGGCTGTTTGATAGTCCAGAAGCGCCGGGATCGTTGCGTTTGGATTGATCTCTAAAAAGCCGGAGGAGAATTGTTCGCCCTCCTTGATATTCACCAACCATGCGTCATATTCTGCGTCGGCGCAGCCGGACTCTAGGAGTTCCTCCGGAATTAGAGTCTAAGAGGAGGCAGTCCGTAGACGACAGTAGATTCCAGAATCTGAGAAAGCGCGGAAACAAACGCCCGTGGTCCCATAATAGCTTGTGTCGGGGATAGTACATGAGGAAAAAGTGGCGGGTTGCGATTTTCTAAATGCTTTAAACGCCTCGCGGCTCTATGTTCTTTATGTTCTTTTCTTTAAGTGCTCTATGTTCTTCAAGTGCTTTAAACATAAGAGCAAAATCGAAACTTTGAAGCCATTCGGCGTTCCCAACGAGTGAAGCTGCAGCGCGTGTCGGCCCCGTGGGCGTTCAGCATCCTCCCATGGCGTAGCGGTAATCGCCCGTAGCGACTCGCGGCCCCATGCACCGGGCAATTCGCGAGGCGCCCACTCGGGCGGTGGTCGGTAACAGTCCTCGGGCGAAGGTTCCATGTGGTGTGTGGCAGTCTTAAATATAAGAATAATTTTTCGACCCTATAGTACTTGTATCTGTCGACTACCCGTTGGGCCGAATTCCTCTGGCTTGGCGATGGGGCCTTGTCTGTACACGGGACTTCTACCCGGGACCGCTATCCGTGAGGAGCAATCACGCCGGGGGATTAGCCTCGGGAAGGGGGGTGGCAGAGTTGCGCGGCCAGCACGCAAGGGCAAGTGGTAGGGGCTCATAACGGCGCACGGGGAAAAGGCCGAGTGCTTTTTTCCCGGGGTGGGCTTCTGGCCCCCCGACACCGCAAAGAAGTTTGGCTTTCGCAGACGGGGAGCATCAGGCCCTCGGCCGCGCTTTCGTGTGCGGGCTCGTGGTCCTTGGCCCGTCGTGGTCTGTAAAATTACTGGCTTTCTTTGAGAGATGCGCCAAAACGGGCGAAATGCCGAGGGGCCTTTCGGCGGAAGCAAGAGAAAAGCCAGCCGCATGCCATCGAGCCCTGGCAAGAGGGGCCCCACCGCCATCAGGGCGCTGCGCGACCGGGAGAACAGGCGGACAGCAGTCCCAGCCCGTTTCCTCTTTACCTTGTCGGGGGCGGGGAGCTGATCGCGACTACGTTCCGAAGGGGAAACCCAATCCGCGACAGCTTCTCGACGGGCCGGTATAGAGGGCGAAGCTGCCCGAAAAGCGGGGGAACCTAGGGAGGGGCGACGTCGCCCTCTATAGCGGCCTACGGGAACAAAAGCCGGCCCTTTGTTTAACGAAGGGCCGCAGAGCAGGGCGAAGGCGCCGGCGCTTTGGCGGTTCTGTTGGGAAAGGTCGCAGAAAGTCCGGTTTTTTTAATTTTTGGCCGCTGCCGCGCTGCCGCCGCGTGCGTAAAGGGAAAGAGCGGCCATCTGTGAGAACGGCACGGCGCACAGCGCTGGCGCAGGGAAGGCAAAGCCCCGGCTTTCGAGACGCACCGCCGCCCCAACCTCTGGAAAGGCTAGAACTTTAGGGGAGAAGGCCGGCCACGGCGGCCCGCGCAAGTCGTCGACCCATCGCGGACCGGCTGCCAGGCGCGGGGCATCCGGCTCGAAGCGGGGCCCGTAGGTGCGGGGCCGTAGCTCTTTGCCCCGGGGCCCTCCCTCCGCCGCTTTTCGGGGGGCTCCTCCCGGAAATCCTCCAAAGGCCCTGGGCCTCTGGGCAGAAGCCAGGCCACGGCGGTCCGCGCAGGTCCTCGACCTCTCGCGGACCAGCTGTCGGGCTTGGAGCACCCGGCCCCCGCGCCGGAGCCGCGGAGCCTCGTCGGGCTTCGGTAGGGTCCCGGTTCGTTTCCTGCTTACCTTGATGGGTGCAGCAATCTAGCGGAGCTCCTGTGTGCTCCTACGTAGTTGCCCGCTTACCTTGTCGGAAAAGGGTATCAGGGTGGCTTGGGCTAGGGTCAGCGTCACCCCCTATAGGGGCCTACGGGATCGGGAAAGGCAGTGGGGGTTGGTATTTATAGACAACGGCCCCCGCCAGATTCGCGGCCCTTCCGCGTAAGGCGGCGACCACCCTCCCGCCCTAGCGGCTTACGGGACCAAAAGTCGCGCCCTTTCAATCGGGAGGAGAGAAGGCGCCGACGTGATTCCGCACTGTTGCTATTTTTCTCGGCTTTTGCCGTGTGAAGTCCGCAAAAGGCCCGGGGATTTTGGGGAGAAAGCAAGCGGAAGGCTGTTTGGTTTGAGGTCGGGCAGGCTTCCGGCGGGCGGGTTTGGTCGGCTTGCGCTTGGTTTTTGAATGTGTTCGGTTCGCGTTTCCGTTTGGCGTGGGTTTGGTTTGGGTTTGGCTGGTGTTGGGTTTGCGCTTGCGCGTGCGCGTGGTTTGGGTTTGGTTTGAGTTTGGCCCGGGCTTGGTTGGCGTTTCGGCCCGGTTTGCGTTTGGATCTGGCTCGGCTCGAGGCTGGTCCACGTTTGGGCTGTGTTTGGCCTGCGTTTGGTTTCAGTTTCGTCTGCGTTGGGTTTCAATTTCGCGCGCCTTTGGTTTCAGTTTGGCCACGGTTAGGGCCTCGCTGGGTTTCTTTGGCTTGGGTTTGGCTTTGGTGGGTTGCCTAAGGCTACCAGAAAGCGGCGCGCTTTTGCACATGTTTCAGCCTGGTCCTTCTGGTCTTGGGCTTTTTTCCTGGTGGTGGCTGGAACAAAGTAGGCACAGGCTAGCAACTTCTGGACCACTTTCCACCTTGGGCCTGCAGGGCTTTGGTTTTTTTTACCAGTGGCGCCCAGGGAATTCCTTGCACGGTTGAACAGCAACAACTTTGGGACCATTTTCCGCATCGAAGTCGGTAGCCTCTGACTTTTTTCCAGTGGTGTTTAGAGTTTTTTTGGACGATTTCACAACTTTCGAACCATTTGCCAGGTGGAAACAGGTAGACTCTGGAGCTTTTTCCAGTGGTGACTGGGTGAAAAATTTTGGGGAATTTGATAGCTTTGCGCTCTTCTTGCCATCCACTCCAGAAAGAGAACAAAAACGAGGAGAGACGAAACAGGAGCAGGGCGATCCTCTTCGCCGAGCTGCCGCGTCAGAACCTAAAAAATTGAGGAGCCTCCTTCTTAATTTTTTAAGTTCTGACCCGTTTTGTCTTGCCAGCTTTTTTCGTCTGGCAGACGTGGCAGAGATTTTTGCCAAAAGCTTCGCACACTCTTCCCTAGTGTTTAAGCTCTGTGGTCTTCTACAAACGAGGCACGTGCTTGCAATTTTGTTCATTCTCTCGCTTTTCAAATATTTTGGATTTTTGGCACTTTCTTAATTTCTAGAATGGCGCGGGCTAAACTTTACGGAGTACGGCCCTCACAAAATTCAAGCAAACTGCTGCAGAGATTGAGAAAGGCGCAAGCTTTTCTAGATCAAGGAACCACCTCAGCCAGCAACGAAAAAAACTTGGGAAAGCAATGACAACCGACGTGAGCACTTTTGCCGAGCAGCAACCGACCTCCAAAAAAATTGGAAGGCTCCTCTTTGTGTTTTTTGGAGGTGGCTGGCTGCTCCGCAAAAAAACGCACCAGAGTAGGGGACTGCCTTCGCCGTCATTTTTTCCATTTTGGAGAACGTTGCAAGAATGATACTAAATCGCTAGGCTTGTTGTTTTTTTTCTAGTCAGCACCGGGAAAAAATCCGCAGGGCGCTGGTTTCAAGTTTAAAAGTTGCTGGGGAGTTGTTGAGCTGTTCCCTTGCCCGGCGTTTAAAATTCTGGCCCTGCATAAGGAGAACCGCGCACAGCCCCCCAGGCTTTCCGAGGAGCTTGGAGAAGGCTCACCCATGAGCCCCGACCGGGCTGCCGCAAATGTGTCGGGGCGACTCCAGAGGGGCCCGCGGTCCCGAAGGAGTCCCGCGCCCGTTCTGGTTTTCTCCCTGTTCTGGCGGAAGTTTGGAGCCGTCTCGAAGTGTCTCCAAAATGACAGACGGAGACGCCCCCGATGGGTCAAATTTGGACAATGTCGACCCCTCCCCGGCAAGACCCTCAGCGGCTTCATTTCTTTGAGGGGGGCGCCTCCCCCTGGTTAACGAAACCAAAACCGACCCCAGCCGCGTGCCGATTCTAGTCGCCAGAGCTTCCCGACCCCGGGCGGGCTCCTGGGCTTGAAGCAGTCTAGGCCCCGCCGGAGCGTCCTGAAGGACAAAGACGGGCAGCGCACTGCACTCGCCTCAGCACCCACCGCCAGCCACCGCGCGGCGCCCTCGAGTCTCAGGAGCGAACCAAGCACGAAGAAGACCGAGGCGGACACACTGCGCACGCAGTGCAGCCCGCCACCTGCCACCGCGGCGCGCCGTCGAATCTCCTGGAAGAGAGGGAAACGAACGGGGAACAGAAGAGAAGACAAAGGCAACACAGGCGGGACCGCGTTGACCGTGTCAGCATTGAAGGACCACGCGCAGCCAAAGCCGCAGCACCCATCGCCATACCATGCCCCGCCCAAGTCCCTCCCTTTGCCTCTCTTGTTTTTCTCCCCGCTTCGTTCTCGCTCCTCGGGATTCAAGGGCGCGCTCCCTGCGGTTCAGAAACCCCAAGAAAAAGAAGAGAGAAGAGCCGAGAAGACGCACGCGCAGCGCGTCGCAGCCTGCCCGGCTCCGGCCCCAGACTCAGCGCAAGCGGCAGGCCTGGCTCGGGTTTCGAGCATGCTGCGGGCTTCGGCCTTGCTTCGGGCTCCGGGCGTGCTTTGGGCGCGTCTGTTTGGTTTGAGGTCGGGCGGGCTCCCGTCGGGTTTGGTCGGTTTGCGTTTGGGTTTGGTTAAGGCCGGCGTGGGTTTGGTCTCTGTTTTGTCTGGGTTTGGTTGGAATAAGTTCGGCCCGCGTCTAAGCTTGGCCCGGGTCTGGGTTCGGTTTGGCCTGAGCCAGCTTCGGGCTTGTCCCCGGTTTGGGTTTGGGTTTGGGTTTGGGTTTGGTTTGGGTTTGGTTTGGGTTTGGTTAGTTTGAGCCTCAGGCTGGGCCTGGGTTTGGTTAGTTTGGGCCTCAGGCTGGGCCTGGGTTTGGTTTGAGTTTGGTTGGTTTGAGTTTGGATTGGGTTTGGTTTGGGTTCGGTCGGTTCCAGTTTGGTTTGAGTTTGGGTTGGGTTTGGTTTGGGTTTGGTTTGAGTTTGGTTTCGTAATATTGTAGTTTAGTGGTCTCTCGGTGTTGTCTCTCATCAAGAAACCGACTACAAGGTCAGTCCGGTGTATTCGTAGCAGCGGGCAGGAGAACAGAAACGGGCCGGATATTTTGTAACAGTAAAAAATTACTAGTGCAGGTTTTTAGCTAAGCTAATGCAGATTGACCGAAGTCGTTCAAGTTGTGACCGGAGTCGTTCAGGTTCGTACTTTTTCCCTGTCGGGTTGTTTTGGGTCTTGAGGGGGAAAGTGTGAAAATCATGCAAGTAAAAATAGGCCAATATTTTATACAAGTAACACCATAGAAATCAGGAAACTCATCGAGATGCATCAATTCATTTTTTCACGATTTTAAACAGCACCAAGAACAAGAAAAAGCAAAGGAATCCAATATTTTTCGAAAGATTGCCGGGGCGTGATCATCGATTTTTTTATTTGGATAGAAACACGAGCAGAAACCAGAAGCATGCAGATTTTTATTTTGAACATTAAAGCACCAGGGGCATGATCGTCATCATCATATTTTTGAGCTTCTAACCTTTACCATAGTAGTACCATCATCGGGAGATTTTTAAGATTGTAATTTTTTAGAACTTAAGGCATTGAGAACGGGGAAGGATCGGATTGGAAGCGAGACAGGATTTAGATCGCAAGATTCTATTACGTGCCCCATGCCTGTCGAGCTTCCAACCACGACCACAACCCAAAATAACTACTACAACGACCATAGATAAAAGTAGGATGCATATGAAGGTAAAAATAAACAACGAGAAGACGAGAGCGATCGATTTATAAATATGCAGGAGAATGGTGCAAGTGTGTGAAACTAAGATATACCGAATAAAAGACGGAAGAACGGAGGTAAAAATAATTTGATGCATATAAATAGAACGCAAGATAAATCAAGCGGATATGTAATCTAATGCCCCTGGTGCTATAAGAAATGGACAAATTTTATATGTCCCCAAAATCCAGGCCCTCCTGATCCTGGTATTCTGGCGGGATACTTTCTTCTTCTGCTGCTTCTTCCTCTTCTTGCTCTCCTCCTTGCGCTCCTCCTTGCTCGGCTCCTTGCTCGGCTGGTGGTGGTACTAGTGGCCCTTTTCCCACCGGCTTCCCTTCGCCTTCTTTTCCTTTGCCTTTCTCTCCCTTTCCGCCTAGCTTACCCTTGTCGCCTTTGGCTGCGTCCTTACCGCTGTCTCCTTTGGTTGCGTCCTTACCTTTGTCACCTTTGGCTTTGCTGTAGCTCTTGTCGCCTTTGCTGTTTTTCCTCTTGTCGTTCCCCTTCTTGACTCCCTTGGCGGTGCTGCTGCTGCTGCTGCTGCTGGAGGCTGGTTCCTGGTAAGGGTGCCAGCGTCTGTTTTGACCATAGAACGGACTAGGCGACAAGATGACCGCGGTTTTGTTCTCCTCACGAGGCAAATCGCGCCCACCAGTTATCCGCAAGAGCATACGATGGAAGAACATGGCCCAGCCACCCTCTTCGTGGACGAGAGCCCCATAATCCCAGAATAACGTCTTCACGGTGCCAACAGCTTTGTCGATTTCGCGGTGGTAGTGGTCAGATGCTGAATTGATATTCGCATCATGCCAGGCTGTCCACACGGTTTCGACCTGAGCGACGTGACAGGCAATAAGGAGACCATAGGCCTGCGCAAATTGAGTGTCCGTCGTCACAGCCCTGAGGCATCGGATTTGCTGAGCGGCAACGTCGTTAAAGATCTCCGTCTTTACTGTTGCTGACTCTGGAAGGGACGCACCGCAGAGCAGACAGATCCTCTTTTTGCGATGGCAATCATCGTCTGCACCCATTCGGGCCCACTTCTGTGAGTTTGGGCCGGAGGAGCCAGGGAACTACTAGAAGCCGGCATTTTGTTGAATGTCGTTTTTGTATATTTATCCTAAGTATATATAATATACGTGACGTGGTAGAATAATTAGTGGTAATAGTGTACAAAATATCCGGCGGGAGAACACAAGTTTGAACACGTGTAGATAGTCAGATAAAGAACACAGATTACTAGGGTAAAAAGGGAGGGAATGACACACAGAAACCTGCTGAAGACTTTGGAGAGAGACGAGCTCACACAAGCACCAGTGGCACCATATGCGCGCGACGGAAATCTAAGAAGAAATATAACACAAAGACTAGCAGGCCATCCTAAAAGAACTCAAGATCCAGAAGATAGCGGCGTCGGTATGGGGATTCGCATTCTCCTGAAGATCATCAGAACCACCTAGAAACGAAAAGAAACTGACTACCAAGATCAGATACGTACTTACGAACAACGATACGAAAAGAGACCTTCAGAAACTCAAGCTTGACACATGCAGATATGAGACGAAGTGAAGTGACGTCGCCAAACCTAGTAGGTACCGCCCACCTATATAGAGTCTAAAGTGTCCGAGTATAGGCTTCTGATCCAGTCTAGGAATCGGACAACCGTCACGAGGGTGATTGAAATGAATGAACGATGGTAGGCCCTGCAGAACATTGATATCAGGTAGCTCTACCAGTTACTTACACGCAAACGAGTCAAATTGATTTCAGAGATAGCGAAACTTACTTTCAGAGATAATTGAACTGACTTTCAGAGATGACTGAACTTACTTTCAGAGCAGTTCTAACCCCCCTTCACATTCCAGAAGTCATCAGTTAAGAGTGCGTCAGTGGCACAAGGAAGACCACGAGCTTCGTCGGCGGTGGCAGCCCGGAGTAGTTCTTTAAGAAACTGCGCACTGACCTCCGGACAACATCGCAGATTGTTCCATCGCGGATAAGCGATCTGCTGCCAGATTCCAGGCCAGACACTGACGCCAAGATATGCCCGAACAGGAACGAGAACGAGGTCTCCGGCTTTGATAGCGCACCATGTACCGAAGTCACGCGAGGTCGGTATGCTGGGAAAACATCGAGAGACATCCGAACTGCCGAACGCCTTGGCGCGAGGATCGCGAAGTAATCCGTGAAGTTCAGGTAGGAGCGAAGTAGGAACAGCGACATCAATTAGCATCTGGTTTAATCGTTGGAACCCCACGACACCACGCCCCGAGTGAAGTCCAGATCGCGGAGCACGAAAACCGTTATTGAGGCACTTGATAACACCATCCCGCATAGCGTCGTAACGGAGGGCAGCACCGTTGTGGACATCTCGCGAGAAGATCATCTCAGTGAGGACCCTTTCAATTTCACTACTCGGAATAGCGCGTACTTTACGACGCGGTAGCGGCCTTGTGAAGTCGATGAGGTTGGTTCCGAATTCTGCGACGTTCAGTCGCGGCAGTGCCTGTCCATCCATGAAATACTGCAGGAAAAAGACAATGCAAATTCCGTCGATGAACCGACCAAGGACCTTCTGAACGGTACTGGCTGGGAGAGAATCCTCAGCGGCAAGTTCATTGAGCAGCAAGACGTCGCTGTGTTTCACGAAGTGCTGCGCGATGCGGAGTTTCCAAATCGGGTCTGTTCTGTGGACTACCGTTTTGTTGTAGAAAGCATCATCTTCAACATAGCACTCTGCCAGATGTATAATCTCAGAGCCCAGGTCGGCCTGCTTCTTCTCATCACGTTTATACTTGCTCTCACAGACAACACCTACACCCGTCATCTTGTCAAAGACCCTCTGAGCGTTGACGCCATCACCCGAGATTTCCAGATCATTCCCGGACAGAACTACGGTTGCATGATCAGCCTCGTCGTCGAAGAAGTAGAAGTGGCGCCCGCTACTGCTGACTCCGAGACTCCGAAGAGATGGGTGACCAAGGTCGAAGCTATCTGAGACCGGGAAAGTTCGCGTTTGTCGCGGTTCATAGACATACGGCGCAGGGTCTGTCTCAGCGGTAGTGCTGGTTTCTTTGGTAACCGTTCCCTTCGTGACAGTGCATCTGGCGAGGCGCCCGATTTCTCTGACGAACACCTTCACCCGATCGGGATAACGACAGCCCGCTTTAGCTTGGACCCAGAGGACTACGCAGTGGTCTGGAGGGATTCTGAACATTGGCACCGAGCAGCCATCTTCGACCCCGACTAAAATCGTGAGACGTTTAGATTCTTCGCGGTCGAGCGATAACGCGACGAGGGTTCCTATAGGATAAGGCAGGTCTACCGTCAATGTTCGCGGGGCAGGTCGCTGGACAGTTCCATGGACGACTCCGAGAGCGACAGCACCCGCAAAAGGAATGGAGTCATCTTCAATACTGCTGACGGAAGGACGCCGCCGGACCGGTCGCGAAACGATCTTCGAGATGGTGACACTGGTTGTAGTGGATGGATTCGGGAGTGAAACCCGATCGAAGGTAACTGTTCCAAGATGCGGCTCGTCGAGTCTCATTCCCAAGACATGAAGGTCACTGGTACCAATACCAACTTGACACCCGCGGGCACTCTTCCACGCTGGGAAGCAATACAAGCAGAATAGGTGGTCCGGAGTAACGACAGCGCCGTTTGTACTCATGAACGAGAGGTAGCATTCAACAACTCGGGGAGCGGAGTCCTCCGAGAAACCGTTGACACCGCTGACGCCATGGACAATATTATAATCGCGAACCGAGCATCCCGCGTCTACTGCATCGTTGAAGAAGTCGAGAGTGCAGATACTATGGCACCAGCGGTCGAGTTCATGCGCGACGCCAGACGTCTCTTTTGCTCGACGGAGGACAGCACTTGGCGCATCGTCGTCGGCAGGTCCACCTTGGCACATTGTGTCTAACTTTGACATGTAACATTTTCGATCGCGGTCCTCTTCCGCGGAGATTCCAGGTTCGTCAGCGATCTGCTCCGACACCATCTTCCACGTTAAGAAGGGCCTTGAGTTGTCTCGTCCATGCGTTTCTTTGCCGAATTAGCAGTGCTGCTCGACCAGAGATTGACTCTCGCTCCTATCTTTGGAGACAGTTCCGAACCGAGGACAAATTTTTAAGACACCTCCAAGAGAACTGGTAGCGCCTTCTGATTCTGATGAGAGGGAACCGTTGACACAATCGAAAGAGCCGAGAGAAGGTTCGACGGTGGATCGCATACCATACCGGCGCACATAGTCCATCAAAGCAGTGGCGGCAGGGAAGCAGCGGCCATCAGATCGAGAGAGGTTAACTGCCTGGAAGTCACCTGGTGTAGAAGCAGGCAAGAGCTTCGTAGCGCCGAAATCAAGAACTTCAGAATCATCATGCCCACTGAAGAGGCCACGCCGTCGAGTCCACTCGATTATGTCTGCACGCAGTAAAACTCTATGCCCTCCGACAGCTGCGACATATAAGCCTCGCGACGAGATACCGACATAGCGGCACTTGTCTGTGATGTTTCGACAGTTGAAGACGGCACCAATCATTTCTGCCCCTTTCGTGGCAGTATCAAGAATCGCCATCATGTCCTGGGCAGCTTCAGAGGCGACGTCAATACCAGAACACCTGTTCCATTGAATAGCAGAAGAGACCGACGCACCTCCGTCTTGTTGAGCAGCGCGCGCTTCAGTCATCGCTTGGACAGCCTGCTCAGGACCGTCGTCAGTACGGATCCAGATAAAAGACGCCTGACTGACATCGGAGTTCCAGTAGACACAATTTCGGCCAGAGATTGTAAGTTCACGACCGTGATATCTCAACTCATTACCAGCAGAGGGGTTGGACATGTCCTCGAGGCAGAGCTGAAGTAGTTTCTTGATACTGTTGACCTTTACGCGACCAAGGCAGTCACAATTCAAGCCAGCGCCTTCAGATCCAGGTCGGTAGAAGCTCGCAAGGCAGTCAGCATCAACAGCGGAGCATCGAAAGTAACCGACTGCACGCGCGGCAACATCGTTGTCGACGTCAATGTTCGAGGTGTCGATCGCACCATTGGGTTCTTGTGTGAGACGGGTCACGGCGATACTATACCAGTTGCCCCTGGCAGCGGAGAGGGAGGCGACCTTGTGGACGGGAGCCATGTCACAGAGA